GCTCGTGGTCATCAAACCGCCCATCCTCGCAACACCAGCGATCGACTGCTCCGGTGACCCAACGGATCAGAAACCCACAGCACCGTTTCTACTTAGCGCCATACCTCCCGAACTCATACGTCCATCCGTTCGCAATGTCCTTCTCTACAGCATCGCAATGCACGCGGATATCATCACCATCCTCTCCTCCGTCCCTAACGCGAAGTATCTCACGATATCCATTCCAAAGCGTGGTCTAGATCTCGAGCATCTCCGGTTGGGGACAGGATGTCTCTGTCCAAACCTTGAAGGCTTGACGGTTCGTCCAGCGCCGCAGCCATCCTTCAAACAGTTTCGGAGACTAGTAGGAAGCAGGCTGCCGACATCGCAATGCCTAAGGCTTGGCGGTTCTCTGGTGACTGCACGAAAAGACGAGCGACATCCGGCCTGGCTGAAGAAGCATGTTAATTTCCAGTTGATGGCAGATGGAGGTATGAAGTTTGAGCAAGCGCTGGACTATATGCAACGACGAGCATGAAACGGGACGGTAAAAAATCCAAAGCGATATGCTGTCTCTCCGCCCGACTTTGATGAGAATCGACTGATCAAAGTTCTAACAGCCCATCCCTGCAGCCCATATCACGCACGGAGTTGAAGAGAGTTATCTACTGAACCATGTGTTTCTCCTAATAGCTCTCCTACTCGCAATATAGAAATTTATGACATGAACTCCGGGTGTCTGGGCAGAGAGTGGACCGAAGAGTCAGATGTCATCGCCGCACCCTTCCCACTACACCATCCAAAGGGCTGGGACCCGCACAAACACCACCGCAACACGGAACCTTCCCTGATATTATAGCCGCGTCTCTGAACCAGCGGACAACTGCGACGTTATGGTCAAAAATTCTTGCGACGGCCTTTGAAACCTCAATTGGAATCGGCCGGGATTTGTTCGTCAAGAGCGTTCAGTAGGTCCGTATATTACTTCGGAAATGAAAAATTTCCGTGCTATGCCGCTAGACTTGCGTCTGTGGTGATCCCAGGTGGGCCGTAGGATGTGCTTACACTGGTCGTATTTACCTTGATCTTCGACGTACCCATTCACCGCTGTAGTGAGTGTCCCAGTAAAGGTGATATGCGGGGATTGCTGCCACAGACATACGCGATCATTCCATTTGGATGTCTTGAAGAAAAATGCAGATGTTGCGGGGGTGCCAGACACGGGCGCTCTATGCCGTATGGTTACGCAGACTCCGCGATGGAGTGATAAATCTCTAAGGCGAGGGCCTACGAATTGTAGCTGTCCTTCGCAACACAATGGAAACCTTCCCCACTGATAGCAGACGAAACTTCAGGCCCCCTGCAGTATGTTCACCGACTGGTTTTGGTGCCACGTTGTCCTCAGGTTAGTGGCAGGCCGGCATGTGCGCACCCTTCATTTTTATTTTTATTTTACTTTTTGACACGGACCTAACATGCTGGTGCTCAACGCAACCTTCCTCATCTCTATGCCTCACTTTTGTCCATGAGGTCTAATGTCATTTGCAAGCTATCGCGTATCTGGTCCTACACATTCTCTATTAGACATGTCATTGTGGGGCGATTGGTGTGTTGCTCGGCGCACCATACACATCAGTGTCCCAGATATGAGATATGTTTGACGGCCTCTTGAATGATTCAGACACATGGCTAAGAGGAGGGCGGCCGTGTACCAATTGATCCCTTTGCAAAATGAGATAGAAAAGCACCGCGGTCGTCGTCACCCCCCATTGATCTGGTGATCTTCAAACAAAATCTGGCGAAGAGGATTTGGATTTGACAGTATCATCATAATGTAGCATCAAGGGAATTGTAGTCCAGTGGATTGCAAGATCATCAAGACAAGGTGGCCACTGCGTTGGGTGATGGTGTTAAAGAACTAAGGACCCATTTAGGGTTTGATGGGATTTCGGGGTCGACGTCGCGTGGCCGTGGAGATTGGGATCTGGACCACTCCCA